CCGCCGGGCGCCGCGGACCGTGTCCTGTGGCAGCCTCGCCGGCCTTGCTGTGCCGGCTGTGGCACCGCGCGGGGACTCCCCGTGCCCCCTGGACCAACGTTAGACGTGGGGCCGAGCCCGCCGCCCGCCCCCCAGCATGCGCACCTCGTACACGGTGACCCTGCCCGAGGAGCCCCCGGCCGCCCCCTTTCCCGCCCTCGCCAAGGAGCTGAGGCCGCGCTCCCCTCTCTCCCCGTCCCTGCTGCTCTCCACCTTCGTGGGGCTTCTGCTCAACAAAGCCAAGGTACGCGGGCCCCTTTCCGGGACCCCCCACGCCAAGGGTCTGGGGTCCCGCCTCCTCCCCAGGATGTCCCCGGATCGCCACGCGCCCCTCGGCGGGGGGGACGGATTCTTCCCAGCCCCCACCCCTCCTTTCCCATGGTCTCCCAGCAAGGAATGCCCCCTCCCCAGGTGATCACACTCTTACTCGCGGCCCCCTCCCCTTGTCCAGGTCCCAACTTCCGAGTCCCCCTTACCCTCCCTGTCGGTGACCTGGGCACCAGGTGGCTCTCGGTTTCTTAATTCCGGGCACCTATCAGGACAGGTGCAGGAAAGCGTAACCTTGACTAGGGCTGGTGTGTGAGGGAACTGGCAGCACGCTGGACTCTGCCGGGTGACTCCTCCAAGGCCAGACCCCAGCAAGGAAGGCTGGTCCAAGGGGCCGCCTCCCACTCTGTTCCCAAAGGGCTCTCGCCCAGGGGTTGGTGACGGGGTCCTTTGACCCCGTGAAGGGCAGAGGAGTTGCAGACAGGTAAAAGGGGGCAACTTCCTTTCTCTTGCAGGCCCTCCAGGTGTGGGAAGTAGGCAGGGGATCCCTCAATTGAAGCAGCTGCCCTGAGTAATGCTGGGACTGAGGCTGGGCACTGTCCCCTTGGGGAAGGGAGAAGGGGCCTGAGCTTGACAGGTCTTATGTAACAGGCAGCAGCTCCCGTGTTGGCAGTGCGTGTCCTGCCCCGTGCCAGGGCCACACTGGGCTCCTTGGCTGTAGCCAGGACTCATGGCTGACCCTCCCTGCACAGGTAAAGTAAGCGTCTCCAGTATGAAGACTGGGGTCTCCAGTATGAAGACAAAAACCTCAGTAGGCCCCATACCCAAGATGACACCTCTTCATTAACCCAGGCGACAGCCCTGGCTCCTGCCCTGGGAAAGGAGTGCTATTTACCAACTCTGGAGGTGGCATCTGCTCTCTAGAACAGAGCTTGCTACAGAGTCAAAACTAGGTTTGTTGATGGCTTAGTGTAAGGGAGCACAGGGTCCAAACTTTCTCAACTCTTTGCACATGAGTCTCAGCATAACAGCTTTCCTTCTGCTTTCCCTTTAAAAGGCTGCCTCTACAGGGTCTCTATCCCACCTCCTCAAGTTCTAGCCTCTCTCTCCCTGCCAGGCTGAGGTAGGATTGTTTGCCCTGTAAGAAAGGTCACTCCTGGGACATTTTGTTCCTCTCTGGAATGGAAAGTGCTGACTTTCCCTAGAGCTCCTGATTTCCTATTCATGGCAGAAGAATATCTGGCTGGGCATAGAGCAGCCCTGATCTCCCCTAGTCTCTTACCCCTACTGCTACCCCTCACATTCCACACAGAGTGCTCAGAAATTGGCATGCAGTTTTAAACTCAGGAAATTTTAGACAAAAGCACAACTCCCCATCCTAAAAAAGAAAAATTAAAATTAGCAGAGGGGTCTAGTGATGCCTTAAAGGATCCTCTCTCCTTTCCCCACCCCAAGACCACAGAAGTATTAGATCCTTAGGAATAGTAACCATGAGAGATGAAACACCCTCCTTTACCTCCCACTGCTGGGTCAGAGTGAAAACAGGAGTGCCTCTGTAGGCAGATGACTCTGGTGTCCCTTTCCCCACCCCCACTAGTGCTTGGTGTGATATTGTCTCAGCTGAGGGCCTGCTTTGGTGTATATGGACATGGTCCCCAGTGGTAGAATGCTTTGCATATACAGCCTGTTTAGACAGATGTCGTCTGAGGCACAGAGGATAAGAGCTAATAAAGCACTGCCAAAAATAGGTGTAAGAGTGGGCATTCTGTGTGGGCACACTTAACATTTAAGTTTGGTTCCAAATGGGCAACATGGAGACTTCTGTAGCCTTTTTGTTTTTGTTGTTGTTGGGCCCCCTGGGAATCTTTCATCAATTCTGCCTGAAAATGCTGATAAGATCTCTGTCCTGGGGAATCATCTCTGGTGGCCCTTTTCCTGGAACATTGGGGTTTAGACTGTCAGTGAGGTAAAATTCAGATTTTGTTTGTGGCTGCATCCTGCCATCCCCAGCAAGCAGGATGCTCACACCCCACCTGCTGCCAGTAGGCGTTCTTTCCAGCCCCAGTTTTAAATCAGGTCTCTCTTCTGGGTGTATTTTCTCCCTTACCTGTTAGGATTGGACCTGACAACTAGCCAGGGGAGGGATCCTCTTACTTGTGGGATGGGCAAGGCAGTTCTTGAGAAAAGCCCTCCTTCAACCTGCTCCTCCCCACCCCCCCAACTGACAATCTCATGGGCTTTGAGCTGCTGACAGCCTCTTAGGCTGTCAGCACATGGCATGAGTAATTTTAGCTGAGTTATTTCAGGCTCCTGTTCTGATCAGGGTTGAGCTGGCCCCACGCATGCCCCAGCCAGTGTTGCTCCAGAGTTGCCTGCTCCCAGGTGCCCTTCCTGAAAGAGGGAGCGGCAGACTCACCGGCAAACTGTTTCTTTAACCCTTTGGGCTGAAGGTCTTCTGATTCCTTTGGAGGTATGCCCAGGATTAGCCAAGATCCCTTGACAAACAATGCTCAGAGTCCGCAATCTAGCACCTGCTCTCTCTCCAGCCCCCTCACCAACCTCCACAATGGAGACAAGAGCAAGAGTGGCACCTTCAGCCAGGTGCTCACCTCGGCTTGGCTGCAGTATGCCATCAGAAGGATTCTCAGTCAGTGGCCAGTCAGGATGTTGAAACTGGAACCAGGCAGGGAGGATTCTCCCAGCCTTTCATCAGCCCTTAGGAGCTGAGCTCAGCTGGAAGGAATTCCACCTGTCTCTGGCAATTCAGACTTGAGTTTTTCCCAGCTGAATATCGAAACTTAATTGGGTGTTTTGTCATTTAACTTTTCATAAGCTCCTTGAAGTGCCTGTTAGGATAGCTGCTTTCTATATTGGACATTTAGTCTAAATGTAGGTCATTTGAGACAGGCCTGGATTTGGGACTTAAATACCCTAATATATGAATTCCTAGTCTGTAGTTCGAATCTCCAGTCACTACAATAACATAAAGATGGGGAATATGTAGTGCATACAAGAAAGAAAACCCCTGAAGAACATTTTTTGTTGTGTATTCAAATTAAGCCGCCTTCAGCCCTCTTTCCTCCAAGGTACAGGGACTAAGGTTGAAAAAGAAAACAGGTGTGGCCTGCTGCTATGGCTCCAGCTGGCAGACAGTTGCATGAGAGAGCCCAGCAGAGGGCCAGCCACTTTGCCTCATTCTTACATATTTTGTGTTCTTTGCTTACAGAATTCTAAGAGTGCCCAGGGTCTGGCTGGTCTTCGAAACCTTGGGAACACGGTGAGTTCTTCCTAGCCTACCTTTTTCCTGGGGCCACTCCTATTCTTCTGGGAAAATTTAACCAGAGTCCCTTCCTGGCTCCAACTGACTCCCTGCCCTCTAGGGCAGTTGGTACCTGTCCTTCCTGGCGAGTGTTTCATGGAATTGCTAGGCTCTGCCTCACCCGCCCCCAGCAGGAAGCACTGCCAAAAGGAAGTTCCCCTTTTAACTGTCAGCTTGCTCCTCTCCTGGATCCTTCTCCTTGAGGATACCCATTGCTTCCCACCCCTTCTGTCCAGCGTACCCACTCCCTTTTACTCACCTCAGTTGTAAACAACCAGTTATGTCTCCTGGGCCAATAGTAGCAATTTGCTTTACTTCACCCCTTTCACATAGAAAAAGAGAAACTTGAGGCTGTAAGAAGTTCATTTCTGAGTAGATGAAAACAAAGAGCCTTTGGTGCTAAGTAATAGAAATGCCACATAAAAGTTTGATCTCCCCCACTGTATAGATAAATATATACCAGAGATAAATTAACTTATAAAGACAACACGGTTTTTGGCTCACAGAGGTTTCAGTTCATGAACAATTAATTGGCCCTATTACTTTGAGCTTACAGTGAGGCAGCACATCATGGCAGGAACATGGTAAAGCAAAACCACTCACCTCATGGCCAGGATATGAAAGAGAAAAGAGACTGGGGTCCCACAGTCCCCTTCAAGGGTGTATTCCCAGTGACCTAAAGACCTCCCCTAGAGCCCCACTTAAAATGTCCAGCACCATGGGCTGGGGTCCAAGTTTCTAACCTTTGGGGGACATTTAAGGTCGATACTGTGGTCCCCGCTGATTTTCTGGATCATCTCTTGCAGTGCTTCATGAACTCGATTCTGCAGTGCCTGAGCAACACCCGGGAGCTGAGAGATTACTGCCTCCAGAGGCTCTATATGCGGGACCTCAGCCACACCAGCAATGCACACACAACCCTCATGGAAGGTGAAGAACCGTGCATGGACATGGCCCTGCTTCCTCACTTGATGCTTTTTCCACTCCACTCGAATAGTGCAAATAGTTGTGTTTTAGAAATACCTCTCTACTTTTCTGTCTTTGCCTACTTTTTGTTGGGATTCTAATTTGAGTTTCTTATAGAAAATATCTCGCCTGCCCTCCACACCCTTTCTCTGCTCTCTTCTTCCAACAGAGTTTGCAAAACTAATCCAGACCATATGGACTTCATCCCCCAATGATGTGGTGAGCCCTTCTGAGTTCAAGACCCAGATCCAGAGATATGCACCACGCTTCGTTGGTTATAAGTAAGGGTCCTGCAAACATGTCCTCCCAAGGTGGGTGGCAGCAAGAGCAGAGTCTTGATACAGAAGTGTTGCTCACACTTTTTTCTCTGGGTTAGTCAGCAGGATGCTCAGGAGTTCCTCCGCTTTCTTCTGGATGGGCTCCACAATGAGGTGAACCGAGTGACAGTGAGGCCTAAGTCCAACCCTGAGAACCTTGATCATCTCCCGTAAGTAGGGGAGGATGCTATAGGGAAACAAAACTTTTGTGAACTTGAATTTTCAGCCTGTTTCTTTGGGGTAAATTATTTTGGGGAGAACCAGATTTGCTTTTGAAGATCAAAGATCCACGTTGACATACCCTTAAGCTTAACATAGTTAGAGCTCTGACCCAGTTTTCTTCCTTCTTTGGTTCCCAGTGATGATGAAAAAGGGCGACAGATGTGGAGGAAATATCTAGAACGAGAAGACAGTCGGATTGGGGGTAAGTGCACAGACGGAAAAAATGGCTGCCTTATTGTAACCTGTTTCACCTGAGCGGAGCATGAAAAGCCCTGAGTATGGGCTGGGGACGTGGCTCAAGCCGTAGCGCGCTTGCCTGGCATGCATGCGGCCCGGGTTCGATCCTCAGCACCACATACAAACAAAGATGTTGTGTCCGCTGAAAACTAAAAAATAAATATTAAAAATTCTCTAAAAAAAAAAAAAAGAAAAGCCCTGAGTAGATCTGAGGTCAGCCCAGTGGGGGAGCACTTGCCTAGCACGTGTGAAGCCCTGGGTCCCACCAGCACTGCAAAAAAGAAAAGCCTTAAGAGTCATTCTGCGGGGAACTCTGCTTCTGCCCACATCCAACAAACTGAGGCAGGAACAGTGAGAAGACTGTGTGCACCCCCCCCCCTGTGTTCAGCATCTCCTGACCTTCTCTTCCCAGATCTCTTTGTTGGGCAGCTAAAGAGCTCCCTGACATGTACCGACTGTGGTTACTGCTCTACAGTCTTTGATCCCTTCTGGGACCTCTCACTGCCCATTGCTAAGGTATGCACTACTGTTGCCCCACGTTTGGAGCTCCCTCCTGTCCTTCCATGTCATCAACAGCTGACCTATACTTTTTTTTCTCTCCAGCGAGGTTATCCTGAGGTAACACTAATGGACTGCATGAGGCTTTTCACCAAAGAGGATGTGCTTGATGGTGATGAAAAGCCAGTAAGTCATCCTTTGACAGCAACAGCATATTTCCATGAGACTTCTCTGGGAAAGGTCCAGCCGAGGAGTTACTAGACTTGCCCTTTGATTTCTCCCACAGGTTCTTTAGCTCTGTTTATCTTGTCTTTCAGACATGCTGTCGCTGCCGAGCCAGAAAAAGATGTATAAAGAAATTCTCCATCCAGAGGTTCCCAAAGATCTTGGTGCTCCGTATCCTTAAGGTCCCTGGGCCTTGGCTTTTTTTTTGGGGGGGGGAGTACTTGGGATTGAACTCAGTGGCACTCAACCACTGAGACACATCCCCAGTCCTATTTTGTATTTTATTTAGAGACAGGGTCTCACTGAATTGCTTTGCATCTCACCATTACTGAGGCTGGCTTTGAACTTGTGATTCTCTTATCTCATCCTCCTGAGCCACTGGGATTACAGGCTTGCACTGCTGCACCTGGCCCTAGCCCTTTTTAAATTTTATTTAGAGACAGGATCTTCTCTAAGTTGCTGAGGCTGACTGAAATTGCAGTCCTCCTGCCTCGACCTCCTGTGCCACTGTACCTAGCAGGGACCTGACTTATGAGAATGACTGATGACAAAGAGATCATCTAAAATCACCAAAATTTTGGTGAGAGGAGCAGAGTAGGAAAATTTGAAACTTTTAGACTTCCTTGTGTTTGCTTTTCTGCTTCCTGAGGAAGGTGCAGTTGCTTGTGTGGTCTCATCTAGTTGCCTCTCTTCTTGCCATGCATCTGTCCTTAACTCATCAATCCCAGACCTGAAGCGGTTCTCAGAATCCAGGATACGAACCAGCAAGCTCACAACATTTGTGAATTTCCCACTAAGAGACCTGGACTTGAGAGAATTTGCCTCAGAAAACACCAGTGAGTATCTTTAAGAAGTGAAGAATCAGGGCACAGTGTCTAAGATACAGATGAGAAGCAAGGAAATGACAGGAAGCTAACATGAGTTAGCAAAAGATTGGGAAGAAGAGGCAGGAGGAGGGAATAGGGCGGTAGAGAGTGCCCCCGGACTCAATGCCTTGCATTTCCTCCCCAGACCACGCTGTTTACAACCTGTATGCTGTGTCCAATCACTCCGGAACCACCATGGGCGGCCATTATACAGCCTACTGCCGAAGTCCAGTGACAGGCGAATGGCACACTTTCAATGACTCCAGGTGGGAGAGGGGGCTCAGGCAGGGCTCCTGGCTGTCAGACCACATGTCTCTCAGTGCGTGCTCAAAAGCTACTTAACACACACAAGTCTGCCCGTTCTGAGGCTATCAAAAGACACAGAAGTTGGGCCAAGCCTGGTGGCGCATGCCTTGTAGTCCCAGCAACTTGGGAGGCTGATGCAAGAGGATTCCAGGTTTGAGGCCACCTTAGCAACTAAGGGAGGTCCTGTCTCAAATTTTTTTAAAAATTAAAAAGGGCTGGGGATGTGGCTTAGTGGTAAAGTTCCCCTGAGTTCAACCCCCAGGATTAACCTAACCAAACCAACAGAGTTTGGCTGTGGGTGTGTAATAGAGAAGTGAGAGACAGGGGCCTCACACTTCTTCAGCCACTCAGCTCTGTGAACCTGATGACCTCCCAGGCCAGGACTCTGACTTTTCCCTGCTCTCTTCACAGTGTCACGCCCATGTCCTCCAGCCAAGTCCGCACCAGCGACGCCTATTTGCTCTTCTACGAGTTGGCCAGTCCACCCTCCCGTATGTAGCAGCAAGGAGCTACAGCCCTTCCCCCTTCCCCGTGGTGGCCCCACACCCTAAGTTTTTTAAAAAGACAAAAAAAAAAAAACACAAAAAAACAACAACAAAAAAACCTGACAAATAAGAGAAAAATAAACTAAAATAAAGCTGCTGAGCAGGAGTTGATGCAGCCTGGTCAGGGTCTGGAGCAAGGAGCTGGGTGCCCCCAAGCCATGGCCTGGCGGGAAGATCCACTGGACACAGAGACCGGAGTCAGCACAGTGCTCCCTCGGCTTCTCTTGTTTGCATTTTTAAGCTTGTGGTTTTTTCCTGTGTGTAATAAACAACAGCAGTCTGTGGGGAGAAGATCTTCGTCCACCTGCCGTCCTCTCCAGCCCCTGCGCCTCCTGGGAAGACAGCACCCTCTGGAGCCTTCTGGGAGCATCATTGCCTGCATCATGGCACCGTTGAGGAGCTGGCGCCTGTCTCTACCTGGACCTGCTCACCAGTCCAGAGCAGGAAGCACCCATGAGCCAAGAGCCCTCTTAACGCTGCTAACTCCAAGGGCACAGGCAAGGGGACATCTTTGAGGAAAGCTGGTTTGGGTTTTTTTTTAAAGCCCAGATTTTTTTACTTACCGTAATGAAAGTGTTCAGACTGGAGACCCTCTCCTCCACACCCCTTCATAGCTGGCATGTTGGGCTGGTCCTTTTTGTGTAATTCTTCAAGTAGAACTTTCCCAGTGCTAGCCCCCTGTGGTGCTAGGCGGGGTTGGCCAGGCCCAAGCACACCACAGTAGACCTGGGATCTAAACAAGTTTTTGTTTGGGGTTTTTCATTTTGTTTTGGATGGAATCTAGTTGCCTCCAAGAATTGTGCCTTATAGCATTTGGGGACCAGGGGGTAACTGCCCCTCCCTGAAATATCCCTCAGTCCCTTCCCTTTTCCCCAGTGCCATGTTCAAACCCACTGGGGGAAATAGGGTCCCGCCCTGAGCCCCTGGTACGTTGTGCATTGCAGTGAGGCTAAGAGGGAAGTAGGTAAAACGATTTCTTACGATAGTGTATCAGTCCTTCCTGTCCGCCACCTCTTACCTACCCTGGTCTACTCCCTAGCTGTTTGAAGGATAGCACAAGCCCCCTGTCCCTCAAGCTTCTCTCCTTTAATTTATTCTCTTTTAACATCCCTTTCCCCTTGCCTTCCTGCCACCTGCCCCTTCTCAGAGCCTCCTAGACACAGGCCCTCTGGACCGAGTTTCTCAGGGATGCCCATGCCACCCCTCAGCTCCTCTTGGTGTTGGCCTTTGGTCCTTCCTTAGGAGCTGGAGCCTGGGTGTCTGGGGACATCTTGCCTCTGTTGTATGATTCCTGGGTTTTGCCCTAAGTTGTTAGACAAAACTCCATGCCATCCCAGAGAGCAAAGTTGTTCAGCACTGAGGCATGGAGCACTGTGCACTTTGCACACTCCACAGCTGGGCCCAGCCTGTGCCCCAGGGAGCCTGGACCATCCCAGAGCTCCTGGGACCAGGCACTAGAGAAAGACACCCTGAGTTTTACCTGGCCTGACACCCTTTTCTAGGGAAGACCTGTGAATCTGAGCCCAAGGGCTGGTGTACACTTGTTTACTGTGTAAGCAAGAGTAGAAGAATGTCTAATGTACAGTGGAACCTTGTACAGAATAAATAATAGCTTTGAGAAAGAAGCTGGTAAGTGGTGGAATCTTGATTTGGGAGGGGTGTGAATGCAGGAAGGGCTCCAAGCATATTAAGGGCCATGTAATTCATTCTCCAAGTAAGTTCTGGAAAAAGTTATTGTTAAATTTTTCAATTCTATAGAAAAGCTGAAAGAGTGCATTTTGAACACTATATTATTCATCAAGATTCACTGATTACTGATTTTTTCCTGCATTTTTTAAATTTATTTTTTAATTTTATTTTTAGACGTACACGTTACCTTTATTTTATTTATTTTTATATGGTGCTGAGGATCAAACCCAGTGCCTCACATATGCTAGGCATGCACTCTACCACTGAGCTATAACCTCAACCCCTTATATTTGTTTATACATCCTTTATTTTGGCCAAAATATTTAGGGGTGAGGTGTCCATATCACACTTCTAAAGATCTCGGCATGTCTTCTTAGATCATTCTCCTTCATGACACCTTTTTTACACCTGGGATAATTACCTAACACACCTTCAAATGAATTTGCTGGTCTGGGTACACAGTTCTTTGCTGAAATGTATGGGGCCCATGCAGGCCTACAGTGAGCTAAATCAAGCCTCTCTAGTGGGCATTGAACACAGGACAGCTCACTCTTGGAGCAGAGTGGCTTGACCTGAAATGATCCGGCCTGGTCCTTGATAAAGACCTCAGCTTCTTTCCCCTTTAAAATTGAAACAGCTGTGCTGGAGATGTGGCTTAAGCCGTAGCACGTTCGCCTGGCATGCGTGCAGCCCGGGTTCGATCTTCAGCACCACATGCAAAGATGTTGTGTCCGCTGAAAACTAAAAAATAAATATTAAAAAAATTCTCTCTAAAAAATAAATAAATAGATAAATAAAAATAGAAACAGCTGCCTTTATGTTAAAGGTTTGGTTCCCTGAGGGGCTTTGTTTTTACCTTTTTTGTGGTGCTAGGAATTGATCCCAGAGCCTTGCACATGCTAGGCAAGTGCTTGTACCCCTGAGTTTCAGGAGCCAGTCCCCTAAAGGTTTTTGTTTGTTTTTTTTTTTCAAGACTTTGGATTTAACCCCTTAAAAGGGATTAACTCCTTGAGGCACTCAGAAACATTCTCTATTTTTCCCCCTTTTTGGTGTTCGTGTGTATTGGAGATTGAACCCAGAGGTGCTTTACCACTCATCTGCATCCCCAGTCCTTTTTTTCATTTTGGACAGGGTCTCTTAGTTGCCCAGGCTGGCCTCAAACTTTCAATCCTCCTGAGTTGCTGAGATGAAGGCAAGCTCCACCATATCTGACTTTTTCCTCTTGATTATTCTTGCTATTCAGCTTTTCCATTTCTGCTGATTTTAGAACTAGGCAAATGCTTTGTGTGTCATCTGGGGATTGAACCCAGGGCCTTCAATATGCTGGGCAAGAGCTCTACCACACCCCAGCCCTGATTTTAGAATTAAGAAGCTGAAGTCTCTAGGTAAGTTTAGCATTTCATGGGGATTCTTCCTGCCTTCCCTGCTCCACATACTTGAAAACCCACAGCCTATCTAGTCGATCCTCATTGAGGCAAGCACCAGCTTGTGTGGAGGCCTGAGTATGGCTGTTAAACCCACTTCATGGAGGGGGCACTTTTCTGGGCATTGTCCAAGAGTGCAGAAGGCGGGATTGGAAGCAGTAACTCAAATCCTGCAACTTCTCCTCCAGGGACCCAGATTTCCCTGGTCTCCATCAAAGTGGGTGGCCCAACCCAGGATAATATTTTAAAGCTGATGACTTCCCCCTAGCCACAGGTAGATAAGATCCTCTTCAAAATGGAAACAATAGGCTTGTAGCCAAGTGGATGGCCCAAAGAACTGTAACTCTTGCCTATCCCACTAGCTTCTCACCAGAGGTAGAAGCCACCCAGTGCATTTTCCTTATCTCCTACTGGGGAGCATATGGTAAGGAAGAGGTAGGTACCCAACTCAGGCCCTCGCCTCTGCTCCCTGCTCTCCACTTTGTTTACTGTGCTTTCTCACCCTTGTGGCAGCAGGCCCTGGTGTTACACAGACACCAAACACAAACAGGTCTATCCCTGTGTTTGGCATCCTGCTTTCCCCTTTAGTAACCTGGATTTCTTCTCCCATTCTTTGCTGGCATTCCTGCAGGCCTTTCCATAGGGGAGGTGCTCCATGTGCAGTTGCTCTTGTGTGACCTTGAACTGGGTCTTAACATACCAATGGTTCCCCGGTTCCAGTTTGCAGAATTAATTTAAGTGAATCAATGCTCAAAAAATTTCTATTTCTATGAAGATTTAGAATTAGAGAACTGGGGTTGTGGCTCAGTGGCAGAGTGCTTGCCTAGCATGTGGGTTCGGTTCTTAGCACCACATATAAAGAAAAAATAGAATAAGTCACCCTTGTCCATGATTTCATTTTGGCAGTCTGCTGAGCTCTCAGAAGGCCTTCTTAAGGCCACCATTGCCTATCAGTGGCAGAGGCAGGATGAAACCCCATCAGTTCTCTTCTCATCACAGTTTTATACCTTTTGGTGGAATTATCAACAGTGCTTTGCAGGAATTTTTCCTACTCTGCATCATTAGGAATTTAGCTAAACAGCAAGGTTATGTTCACACGTGTCCAATAGAAAAACCAGCATAATCCACCTGAGCCCTGCTAGGTTTGAGCTAGACACCTCTGAGTGTCCCCATCCTTCATCACTCTTGAAGCACAAACAAGTATCTGTGTGGGATACGGAAGGCAACAGAAAAGGACTAGTGAGTATCGTCCAAGCAAATTATTTAATCTCACTGGGCCGGGCTTGGTGTCGCATGCCTATAATCCTAGCAACTTGGGAGGCTGAGGCAGGAGGATCACAAGTTCAAGGAGAGCCTCAGCAATTTAGCAAGGCCCTAAGCAAATTCATGAGACCCTATCCCAAAATAAAATATAGAAAGGGCGCCGGGCGTGGTGGTGCACACCTGTAATCCCAGCAGCTCAGGAAGATGAGACAAATCATGATCATGAGTTCAAAGCCAGCCTCAGCAATGATGAGAGACTAAGCAACTCAATCTCTAAATAAAATACAAAATAGGGCTGGGGATGTGGCTCAGTGGTCAAGTGCCCCTGGGTTCAATCCCCAGTACCAAACAAAAACAGTATGGTACATAGCAGGTAATCAACAAATGTCCATTTCCCATCTGAGCCCCATTTCCAAAACTCAACCATCAGAGCTCCACTGAGATTCTCCTAGCAGGTAATCCTCAGCAAATGTTTAATTCCCTTGAGAATACTGAGTACCACCTTTCTTCGAATCGCACATTGACAGAGGTTTATATTTAGAGCCTCTTCCCAGCTCAGGGATAATCCTAGGGATGCATAGTAGACATAGCACTGCCCAAACTGGACAGAAACTGTGTGCCAAGGTCACTGGATGGGCATTCCAAAACCAGGGCATGAGCTTCCTTGATCTCCTGATATTTGGAGTGATCTGCCTGCCTTTTGGAGTTGTTGGTGAGCCAGGGCCACTAAGCTACTGTCTTCTAGGCCCCTGAAGACTAGGGAAGAGTCAAGAACCAGGGGATGAAGGTCAAGACCCAGGGTGGCAGTGAGCAAGGAGAAGGAGGAGTCCATTTGGAAGGTTTGGCAGAAAAGGAGGGGGGCACTGAGCACATTCCTTATTATAATGGTGGTCCTGTAGCAAGGAGAAGGGAGGCCATTTCCAATTGGAGGAAGATGGACAGGCAGGATGAACACAGCCTGTTCCAGGGACAGAGCAGAGGCCAGCCTGGTTGGAGTGGAAGGTTTGAGCTGGAGAACTAGGCACAGAGGAAGCTGGAGAGCTGGAGTCCTGCAATAGAACAGGACCACAAGTGGCTCACCCTACCTGCTGCTCGCCCACCGACCTCCAGAGGGGAGGAGAGTGAACCACGGAGAGATGAGCACGAGGGAGCCATAGGGAGCCACAGGGAGCCATGGTCTCAGGAATGAAGGCACAAACCAGGGGAGCCTCTGGAGGTGGGGTCTCATGCAGGAGCCACATTAGCATGCCATGTCCCCTGTCTTGTTAGCGTACAATGGGCTGAGGGCACAGCGATAGGCAGGACAACCCATGAGGACAGCTTTACAGCAGTAAGGGACAGAGAGCAGGAGGGATGGAGTCACTGCTGAGACAGGTTGAGACACCAGTAAGAAGGAAAAGGCAAGAAGGTCAGGCCCTGGGACCTGTAGGAAGGAGGAAAGGGACTCCCAAGAGACAGCCAGACAGAAGCAAGAAACCTCCCACCTCAGGCCCCAGGCCAACCTCTTCACACAGGCACCAGACAAGTGTCCCTGCTCACAGGTCTTCTTGCTCTCGGCCCATTGTACAAGTCTATAGGAAGGACATGGGAAATAGCAAAGAAAATGAGAAAAAAAAATATGGGCAAAAGAATGTAAAATTGAAAACCAGGAGTCCAATAGAGCCAGCTCTGATGTTCAGCCCGGCTCTTTGTACAGCTGTACAACTTTGGGCAAAAGCACTTAACTTCCAGGGTCTCGGAAACTGTGGAAAATGGGATCCTTCTAAATACTTCCCTGGGCCCCACTTTAAGGCCTTATATCCCAGGACGAGTGTGAGGGTCAAATACGATGATGATTTGAGGGGTCTGCCTTCAATTTCACTCATATGGGGCTTTTGTGTTTTCATTTTCTTTCATTTGTGGTGTTGGGGATGGAGCCCAGGGGTTCTCTACCACTGAGTCACATTCCCAACCCTTTTTATTTTTTGTTTCAAGACAGAGTCTCGCTAAGTTACTGAGTCTGTCCTCAAACTTGTAATCCTCCTGCCTCAGCCTCCTAGGATTACAGGAATGCCCCACCATGCATTTTTAAAATACTTTTTACAAAACAAAAAAAACATACTAAAAAGGGTAGCATTGTTTTACACATTTGCAAATCTCCTTAACATCTGGTCTAACAGAAACAGCTGGATTCTCATCCCTTTTGCATTCCACCCATCACCAAATCACACATCACAGAACATCTGGAAAACTGCATTGAGGGCAGAAACCAAGAAAGGCAAATAACATCTTAGTGTCATCAGGAAAACACTTCTGACCTCTCAAACCCTCTAAATAATTCCCTGGGCCCCACTTTGAGGACCACCACACTAAACCAGGAGCTGCTTGAGACAAGGACAACTGTCATCCTGTCAGTGCTACTCCCAGCCAGGCCTGGCTCTGCAACCTCTCAATGAACGTCTCCGGGAGCAGACCCAAGGGGCGTGGCCCTCCAACTCCACATCTTCTCCTCCAAGCTCAGCACAAGAGCTCTGGCCCAGGCTCTTTGTGTGGTAAGGAACCCTACTTGGTCTGATCCAACCAGTATGATAAGAAGAAAACTTGCCCCTACAGTGACCTTCCCTAAAGCTGGGCACACACACTTGCAATCCCAACAACTCAGGAGGCTGAGGCAGGAGGATCACAAATTCAAGGTTAGCTTGGGCAACTGAGCAAGGCTCTGTCTCAAAATAAATGTTTTTTTAAAAAATGGGGAGAGCCAAGCGTGGTAGCACATGCCTGTAATCCCAGCAGCTCAGGAGGCTGAAACAGGAGAATCACAAGTTCAAAGCCAGCCTCAGCAATGATGAGGCACCAAGCAACTCAGTAGTGAGACCCTGTTTCTAAATAAAATACAAAATAGGGCTGGAGATGTGGCTCAGTTGTCGAGTGACCCTGAGTTCAAACCCCAGTGCCCTCCTCAAAAAAAGATGGGGAGGCCAGGAGTGTCACTCAGTGGTAGAACACCTGCTTCAGTCCCCATTGGTAGAAAATTTTTTTCTTAAAGATCAAGTGCTGCTGGACTCAAGGGTCCTGGAAAAGGTCTGACCTCCCAGACAGAAGCCCCTCAGGCCCTCAAGAGGGTAGATGAAGAAGACTGTAGGGGTGGGGGAATCCCCTCTCCTGAATACAAGAATAGCTGCCTTAGGAACACAGAATCTGTGTTGGTTCTTCTGCCCCTGCTAGTTTCCTCACTTTGCTCCCTTCTGGTATTCTCTGTCCCCTATTCTTTCCAAACATGCCTCATTCTCACCACAGGACAAAAGCAATATGTCACACAAAAAAACATGCATTTGGTATTTACCCAGTCCTAGTAGATGCAACTTTGTTCTCTATATCTCATTAGCTGTGTGACCCTGGGGAAGTTACTTAACCTCTCAGAGCCCTAGCACCATCATTTGTAAAATAGTTATGTTACCTCATAGAGTTTGAAAGGAAAGAAATTACACGTAAGACCTCTTGCCCTAAAACATAGAAGACATTCTACAAATAGTAGCCATAAGAATTAGTCTGACTCCACACCCCTCTGCCCTGCCCAACTCAGCCTGAGCATGGCTAACACAAAACAGATTAGCAATTCCTTATTTTCCTCCCTTGAGGACAGCTGGGCGAGACTGGATTTTCCAAAAGAACTTCAGTCATGAAGAAGAGACATCAAGTGATCTCATTTTCAGTGTGGGCTTCCCACCCTGCAACAGCCCGATGACCCACCCCAGCCTGCGCAAGGCCTTGGGCACCTACCTCCCCATTCTCTATCCTGCCTCCTATCGGCTGAGGGGCCCCCGGGAGGACAGCCCCCTCCAGTTCACGCCATGCTCTTTCTATAATGGTTCCCTTCCTTGTCCTGGTCACACAGGTAATCTAATAGGGACATTTCAAAGACCCAGGCTTGGCTAATGCCCATCACCCAGACCAGGAAGACTGGTGGGCAGTTGGCTTTGCCCAGGGCCAGAGGTCTTAAAGCAGCCAACCTACACCCAGCTTCTCTCTCTCTCTCAGACCCCTTGAGTCTCCCTAATATCTGCAAAGCAGCCCCATGTTTTCTTGCCGGCACCCCAGGAGCTTCCTCAGCCTGGGGTGAGGTGGGAAAGGGGTGGCGGGCTTGCTCACACGTGCCCACTGGGTACCTGCTTCCTCCACTGGAAGCTTCCTCAGCCACTGCCTGTGCCTTTAAGAACTGCCACCCTGTGCCAGGGTCTTGCCCTCAGCTCCTCAGCTGAGTTGGATTAAGGGACCATTTCGTGCCTCTGTGAATTCCTTCTGGCTGCCATCCCTTCCCCCACATGGAGACAGAGTAGCCATAGCCCCAATCAGTCAGCCAAGTGCAGCCCAAGAGCTGGTCTAGCCAGACAGCCTTTGCTCTCCGGGAGTAAAGGTTGCCCCATTTGGGAGGGAGCTGTGGCCAGAGAGGGGGCCCTTGGGGGTCTAGGGCTATTACAGGGACTCCAGAGAGCCATGCAGAGCTTTGGGCCATGAAGGAATACTCGGATGTCATCCTCTGCATGGAGGCGACAGAACTGAGCAAGGTAAGGGCCACGAGGAACCACCCCCCCCCAGACCCAGCATCCTCAGGCTGCACCCCCTCCTGGGGCCACCAAGAGCCCACTGCCTGCCCTCAGCCTCGAGCCTCTGCCTTCCAGACCGAGTTCTGCAATCCTGCCTTCGAGCCTGAAGCTGGGCTACCTGGCCCTTCAGCAGCCCTCCGGCAGGATGCCAGCCACAATATCCAAGCTCCCTGGCACGGTAACCCTCTCAGGGGTGACCTGGGGGTAAGACAGGGGCCCAGAAGCTGAACACCGTGTGAAGGAGGCCGAAAGGCAGGGGGCTCTAAACCCCCCCTCCTGCCCATAGGCCGGCGTCCCAGAGGCCTGCAGCCAGACTGCCACTTCTCCTGGCTCTGCATCCTCCTGCTCGCCAGTCTGCTGCTCCTGCTACTTGGGCTGCTCGCGGCCATCATCCTGTCCCGTGAGTACCTGGACTGACTCTGTGGGCCTCTACCCACCTCCTATGGATCCAGCTCCTCTGAAGGCCGCCTCTTCATCTTCCTCCTCTAGAGTTGCCGGCTGCACCCCCACCCGGGGCCACCAAGAGCCCACTGCCTGCCCAAGGCCTCACCACTACTACTACCCCAACCACCAGCACCAGCACCACCTCCTCAGCTACCTCAGGGCAGCAGGGGGCAGACGCGAGCCCCGCACACCAGGCCAGTGAGTACTCAGCGCAGCTCTCTAGGAAGGCCCAAGATGGCAGCTTGGAGGGGAAGCCAGAAAGTATTGCCTTGGGGGAAAAGGATCTCTCCTTGTGAACTTTGAACTCTACCCTCCATTCCTGCAGCCTGTGGGGGCCTCCTTCCTGGTCCAAGGGGCTTCTTCAGCAGCCCCAACTACCCAGATCCTTACCCACCCAATGCCCACTGCGTGTGGCACATCCAGGTGGCCACTGACCATACGATACAGCTCAAGATTGAAGCCCTCAGCGTGGAGGGCGTGGCCGCCTGTCTTTTCGATCGCTTGGAAATCTCTCCTGAGCCTGAAGGGCCCCTCCTCAGGTGGGTCCCTTTTCCCCCAGGAGAGCCCCCCCCCTGGAAGCTAGGGGGAGCAGGGCAGAACCAGGAAGCTGCAGGGGAGGCCTGGGAGAGACTGGACCACTGGGCCCCACTTGGCCACCACCCTGCTATGTGACCTTGCTTCCCCTCTTTGACCTCAGTTTCCTCATCTATAAACAGAGTTCCTATCTTTCCCACGTAAGTCCCTGTAAGGACACGTGCAGGAAAGCCAAGAGTTTCCTGGAAAATTAAAGGAGGCTTTCATCTTATCAAGACTAGCCCTGGGGTTGAGGAAACAGGCCACACACTCAGGCAAGCCCCAGTCTGGCTCACCCTGACCCAGGAGGCCTCCATCACGGGACCTGGCTTCTTGCAGGGTGTGTGGGAAGGTGCCTCCCCCAACACTGAACACCAACGCCAGCCGCCTCCAGGTGGCCTTCGTTTCTGACAGCAGTGTGGAAGGATCTGGTTTCCAGGCCTGGTACCAAGCTGTGGCCCCTGGGCATGGTGAGTGACATCCCCACCATGTGCCCAGCTGCCTATCGCCCATTCCTTGCCTCCAGTCACTCTCGGCACTGGCAAAAGATCTGGAGACTCTGGAGATTTCTGACCCCAGATGCCCTCCACCAGGGAGCTGTGCCCACGAAGAGTTCCACTGTGACCAGCTCGTCTGCCTGCTGCCTGACTCAGTATGTGACGGTTTTGCCAACTGTGCCGATGGCAGTGACGAGACTAACTGTAGTGCCAAGCTCTTGGGTATGGATCCACCAGGTGTGGGGAGGTACTGTCTTCAGGCAACTGCCCCAGGTTCAAGCTGGGCTCCCCAACCTTGGCCCAGCCCCAAATCTGTATTCCTACCTGCCAACGTGCCCTGCCTGGCTGGCCGGAACTTGCTTGCCTGCAGGCAGGGCCCAAACTCTTGCTTTGCGGCCGCTGCAGGCCCTATTAGACAATGGAGGCACAGGCCCTGGCAACTCATGAGCCCTTCCGCCTCCCTACAGGGTGTGGGGGGAATCTGACTGGGCTGCAGGGCACCTTCTCCACGCCCAGTGACCTACAGCAGCACCCTCACCAACAGGTAAGTGTGGTGCCCAGGGGAGCTGGTAGAACACCCAGGTTAGTGTGACTGGGAACAGCATGGTAGACACTGCCTTGGACTTGGGAAAGTCATTACTCGAGCAGACCGAAAGGGAACATTATTAAGTACCTACTGTGTACCCAGATATTCCTATGTTGGGCAAACCTATCTATTGGTGAGACTAGCCACATTAAAGATCCTTCCCCTTTTAAGAGCCTCAGTTTCCTCATCTATAAATGAGGCTCCTGTCTTTCCCATGTATGTCCCTGTAAGGACACATGTGCAGGAAAGTCGAGAGTTTCCTGGAAAATTAAAGGAGTTTTTTCATCTTATCAAGACCAGCCCTGGGGTTGAGGAAACACAACCACACACTCAGGCAAGCTCCAGTCTGGCTCACCCTGACCCAGGAGGCCTCCATCACATGGACCTGGCTTCTTGCTTTCCATTGGGAAGCTGGGTGGGCAAAAGCTTGTGCTGGGCTAAGAAGTCCCTTCTGAAGCTCATCCTGGATGCCCAGAGTGGGACAGGAGAAGGGCCCATGGGTTTCTCCATCTGCACCCTCCCCTAGCTTTGCACCTGGCATATCTCCGTGCCTGTTGGACATGGCATAGAACTCCAATTCTGGAACTTCAGCCTGGAAGCACAGGACGAGTGCAAGTTTGACTACGTGGAGGTGTATGAGACCAGCAGTTCAGGAGCCCTCAGCCTCCTGGGCAGGTACGGGAGCCAGGGTAGCTGAGCAGCTAACCCATCCTCCACTGCTGACACACCAGGCTCCCTACACATGGGCCCAACTTACTCCCCAACTTCGTTTTCTTCTGCCACTCCAGGCCATGGGTCTCTACCTTCACCCTAAAAGGCTTGTGCATGCTTATCTCAAAGCCCTCATGCCTGCAACTGCCCCACCCCAGGAAGTCCTTTGGCAAGCCCCTCTCCACCCTGGGGGGCTATTTCCATTCCCCTACAAGCCCTCCTGAAGCAACTCAAGCCCAAGTAGTTTAAAACTTTGTCTCCTGACTCTGTATGTCCTCCTCACCATACCCTAAGTTCTGATAGCAGCAACTGTTTCCAATCACCCCTGGCAAGTCCCAGAGCCGCAGCTCAGAGATGTAGCAGATGGCCTGGGGTCACATGCCCAGAACAACACTCTGTTGTGGGCAGGTTCTGTGGAGCAGAGACACCTCCACATCTCGTCTCCTCGCATCATGAACTGGCTGTGCTCTTCCGGACAGATCATAGCATCAGCAGCGGGGGCTTCTCCGCCACCTTCAAGGCCTTCAATGCCACAGAGAGTAAGTACCCTTGGGCGAGTGGGTTGGGCAGTAGAGACACCTCCACGGAACAGAAGAGGGCTCTGGACCTGGTCAGGGCACCCTGGAGCGGGGGCAGTTCCAGGGTACTGCCATACCCCCTGTGCCTACAGACCCCTGTGGACCCAGAAAGTTCTTGTGCCAGAATGGAGGGTGTAGGGATCTGCAGTGGATGTGTGACTTGTGGAGAGACTGTATAGATGGCAACAATGACAAGAATTGCAGCAGTCCCTTGCTCCCACCCCCAGGTGAGAAGCCTGCACTGACACCCTGAATGGGCCCCCATCCTGAGCAGGCTGGGTGTCCAGCACCTTCCCCAACATTCCTTTCCCTCCTCCCTGATTGGGATTGGGGGACCAGTTGAGTATTACTCTCCTGACTGTGGGGCTACTTCACAGAGTCCTGGAGAGACTCTCAACTGGTGGGGGCAGTGGTACTTAGTGTCACGCCAAAAGGACCCAGGAATCTGGGAATCAATGTTTGGGGCTTCAAGAATCAGCCACCTTGTCACACACAGTCCTCTCCACAACCCACTTCAAAGATGAAGATGAGATTTTACACAGAGTGGGTGAGTTTATTACAGATGCCCAAGTAGTTCCTGCAAATATGAGCACCCCACATTCCCTGAGATCAAAGAGGTGGCTGCGTGATGCCCAGGATTGGCAACTTGCTTGGAGATGGCTCTTGAGAAGAACAGGAATCCCTGATGTGTATAAAGCCTCTCTCCTTGTTAACTCTTTGGATTTTCACAACAATCTCCATCTGACCTATGTAAGGACCCAGAGTAATGAAGTGACTTGTCCCCACAGTGACCCCTTCTCCCATCCCTGCAGAGCTGGCCTGTGAGCCTGTCCAGGTGGAGATGTGCATCGGTCTGAGTTACAACACCACGGCCTTCCCTAACATCTGGGTGGGCATGGCCACCCAGGAGGAGGTGGTAGATGTCCTCAGAGGCTACAAGGTGCTCTGGACAGAGACAAGGAGGGAGGCCACAGGAAGGGGAGGGAACCTGGGGAGCTGAGCACCTGAGGGCTGATCTCTTCTTCCCACAGAGCCTAACAAGCCTTCCCTGCTACCAGAATTTTCGGAGGCTCCTTTGTGGGCTGCTTGTGCCCCGCTGCACCCTGCTGGGCAGTGTCCTTCCCCCTTGCCGCTCTGTCTGCCAGGAGGCAGAGAGACAGTGCCAATCTGGCCTGGCACTACTGGGCACCCCCTGGCCCTTCAACTGCAACAGGCTGCCTGAGGCAGCTGGTTTGGAAGCCTGTGCACAGCCCTGACCCTCATGCTGGCCCTGCCTCTGCCTGCCCACAGGCTTTTGCCTTTATGGGCAAGCAGGCAGAGGACAAGGGAAGAGGGGACCTTTGTATAGGACTCTGTCCATCCTCTCAGTCCCTGGCTAATGGAGCCCTCCCACCTTCACTCTCCTTCCCTGTTCCTTTACTTGCCAAAGGCTGCTGACCTGGCTTCACACTGTGCCACTGGACAATCTAGAGGCTTTCCATGCAGGGCTTCCTATCTTTTGCTTTCTCTCTTCCATTTGCTTTTTCAGGTTCTCTGTCACCTGCCCTGTGTTTTTTTCATTTAGTCAACAAAACTGTATTGAGTGCCTATAGATTCAAAGGCCCTGTTCCTGCTGGCTCTCAGTCTCTGGAACTCTCCACGCTCTGCTCTTTGCTGGTCCACTTCTCCATGGTCTAGAGTCTTGTCCTTGGTCTCTGTCATTGCACCATCTTTCCCTCCCGCTCCTGGGAACCAGAGCCCTTAGCGTCTGGCTCTCACCAATTGCCTCTCAGTGCCCTGCTCAAATTCTCTCTCCCCCCTCCCTTCTCCTCCCAAACTTTGGCCGACGGCCGGGCGACACCACGAGTTATTTCCCTGCTATTTCCCGGCCTGGAGCTCTTGGCCCTTGAACAACTGGTTTCCTCCTGGAGTCTGGGAGGAGCAGAGCAGAACCGACCAGGAGCGAACCAGGACCAGGGGAAGGACGAGGACAAGGGGGTACCTGGGTAGGGTGAAGTGCAGGGCGGGAGCAAAGCCAAAAGGAGGGTCCAGAGTGGCGACTGTCCCAAAGGAGGCCATTGAGAGAGCCAGCAGCGCCGGGGAGCTGGGAGTGGGTGAGTCTGGCAGAGGAGGGGGAATGGGGTGAGGGAGGAGACTGTGGGAAAGTCTGGGCGCCGGCTGGGGTGGGAGGGAGGGAAGGAGAGAGGGCTGGCCTCCCTTTCCCTCTCGCTTGTGTTCTCCAGCTTCTGAGTTCTGGGGAGCCCCTTTTTCCATCCTCCAGCGCGCCCGCTCAGCCTCTGGGGCATGGCAGTGGGGTGGGGACCGGTTGGGCTGAGCAAGGGTGGAGAGCGAGGCGGGTGCCAGAATTCTGGGTTCCGACTCCAGCCCTGCCCGACCCACAGACGACGAGAGGACACCGGCGCTCGGGCTCCCGGTGCCGGCATCATGAGGCCTCTCCTCGCCCTGTTGCTCCTGAGCCTGGCGTCCGGCTCGCCCCCACTGGAAGATAACAAGATCCCCAGCTTGTGCCCGGGCCACCCGGGCCTTCCAGGCACACCGGGTCACCATGGCAGCCAGGGCCTGCCTGGCCGCGACGGCCGCGATGGCCGCGACGGCTTGCCCGGGACTCCCGGCGAGAAAGGCGAGGGCGGGAGGCCGGGTAAGGAAGCACCTTTGTTGAGGTCCAAATGGGATGTTGGAGCCATTGTGGTTCTCCTGTGCCCTCGGGTTCGGGGCTCCCTCTAGGGGGCGCTAATGCTCAACCACTCAGGTCGGCGGGGCGGGGCGGGGCCGGGCACTTCTGAGACCCTCTTTGCTCAGCCGCTCAGATCTACCCCAACCCCTGCAGAAAACCGGGGCAGAGACTGGGGCGGAGAGAGGAAGCGGCTTTTCGGAGGCTCAGTGAGGCTGAGCGAGAGTGGAAGTTCTTGAAGTCGCCCTCCTGCACCCGGCTGCGGGCTGATCCCACCGCAACAGCCACCATTCTTAACCCTCCCCCTCTCCCGCAGGACTGCCGGGGCCGCGTGGGGAACCCGGGCCGCGAGGAGAGGCGGGACCCATGGGGGCAACCGGGCCTGCAGGCGAGTGCTCTGTGCCTCCGCGCTCCGCCTTTAGCGCTAAGCGCTCTGAGAGCCGGGTGCCTCCGCCTGCTGATGCGCCCCTACCCTTTGACCGCGTGCTGGTGAACGAGCAGGGACATTACGACGCCACCACCGGCAAATTCACCTGCCAAGTGCCGGGGGTCTACTACTTCGCAGTCCATGCCACCGTCTACCGGGCCAGTCTGCAGTTCGATCTGGTCAAGAACGGCGAGTCCATCGCTTCTTTCTTCCAGTTTTTCGGAGGGTGGCCCAAGCCAGCCTCGCTCTCCGGGGGTGCCATGGTGAGACTGGAGCCAGAGGACCAGGTGTGGGTGCAGGTGGGCGTGGGTGATTACATTGGCATCTATGCCAGCATCAAGACAGACAGCACCTTCTCTGGATTTCTTGTCTACTCCGACTGGCACAGCTCTCCAGTCTTTGCTTAGTGCCTACTGGAAAGTGAGCTCCCGCTCTCTTCTACAAGAGAAGGGTGTAACACTGACAGCGGCACATTCGGGAGGGCTGGCCCCCCCGGAATATTGTGAATGACTAGGGAAGTGGAGTAGAGGCCTCTCCGTCCTGTGGCAAGAAATGGAGACCCAGGCTGTCTGAGGTCTGGTGCTGGCAGCATGGGGCAGTGGCTGGATTTCTGCCCAACACTAAAGGAATGTACTGCACTAGCAAATGTGGGTCCCCCTGGTTGCTCTGGCCCAAGGTGGGGTGCTCTTTTCCTGGTCCTCTGCTTCTCTGCATCCTCCTCCATCCCTCCTGCTTCAGGGACCAACACTTTTCTCAGAGATCATTTAATAAATTTAACAAACCCTCTTACTGGCTTCAGCCTTTCTTTAGTGGTGGGGATACTTGTTTCTGAGTATCATGGTGGGCTGTGCAAGCAAACTGGGTGCTCTTGGATGGGATGGGATAGGAAATGCAGGAAGCAGGCCCAGAGGAATGACAGCCTGCTTCACAGAGCTGTCACATGGGTTTCAGAATTTGTGAAAAGGAGTATATGGGGTGTTTGGGGGAGGGGGTACTCTCCTGCTGTGGGGCCACCCAGAGAAAGGGGTGTCTTTTCTGACTCAAAGATGCCAAATCAGATGGGCACTGCCCTCACCACACATACCCTGCCCTGATCCAACAACAAAAGGCTAAGGTTTTCATTTATGGCTACTCTGGCTGTTTGTCTGGTCCCTGGATTACTAGAAAGTTATTGCTCTATCACCATGCTAGGTGAATGATGTTCTTGGATGTCAAGATAAGTTATTTCTTTGGAAACCACAAGGGGGCGCCCCAGTTTCAGAATGCAACAAGCATTGGTAGCTTGAGCTCAGTCAGCACTTCTGGGGTGATTAAGGAGAGGAAGGGTATTAAGGTCTGCCAAAGGAGTTCCAGATGAGGGTGGAGGAAATGGGGTGCTTTACTTCCATCTCAGGAAGTTTATCTTCCCTCATAAAATGTTTATCCCCACATTAAACAGAGACTGGAAGGAGCCAAGTCTCCCCTTGTTTAGCTCCCTCTCCAGATTTGGGGGAAGGGAAGAGAAAGAGCCATACCCAGCCACAAGCCTCCCACCTCTGATGTAGGTGGGGAACTCTCCCCCACTGTGCTGGGCACAGCCTGGGTGGGCCAAGCCACTAAGTCTGAGGCTGAACACAAAGCCCCTTGGAAGCTCCCCTCCTCTGACCTTGAGAGCCCAGCCTCAATCTAATGACTAACAAACCAGAGCTTGCCAGTCCCAGTCTGCTCAGCCTATCAACCTAGAGAGTGGAGGGGCCTCAAACCAGTTTCTTCAGGACCCACCTACCTCCTCCCCTTCCAGAAGACAGTCCCAGGCATTATACTCTTAGAGGGAACATACAATTATGGGGGAGTGCCCCTTCTCTCTGGTCATGTGAGGGCAGCTATGATCATGGGCATTGGGCCACACTGGAGCCAGAGATAGGCCTCAGGCCTCCTGAGCTTCAATTCCCTGCTCTCCACCAGGAGGCCCCACAGCCCTCCTCCAGCCCATCATAGCACTAGTCTCTGTGCCAAGAAACAGAGACAAGCCCCAGCTCCTCCAGACATCAGGACCCCAAGGCCCCTCCTGGGAAGGATGGCACCAGAGGGAAAGCTGAGAAGGTAGACTTAAAGAGTAAGAAGTTCACATTCAGCTCTACCAAGACTTAATTCTGGCAGAAATGGAAGACAGGGAAGGTTTTCCTAGAAACTTGTGTGTGAAAGGACTAACTGGAAAGGGTGAGAGCTAACCCAGCCACACCTGGCACAGACACTCCCTATTTCCCCTCTTCTCCAGGGGCCAGTCCAAGGCCTGGTCCACCAGAGAACACACCTGCCTGACTCTAGCAGGACTGAAAGATCTTTCTGTAGCATCTGTCACCCTGATCAACTATTAACTTTTGCAGAGATGCACACAGACGCGGTCAGAGCTGTCAAGAGAACTTTATTCATTGGAAACTGGGCAAACAGACCCCTCAGGGAGCTGCATGCCCCTAAGCCCTGGCCCCTTCTGTTTGGACCCTAGTGAAATGTGCACAGTTGCCCTCCCTAATGTCAGGGAGAGACAAAGAGGAATGCCATTTTTTCTATGTAAAGTGAGGAATAAAAGGGGAATGAGTAGAAATCTGGTTATCCCTCCTGAGGCTCCCTGTGGAGCTGGGGTGCCTGAGGTTACATGGTCCCCAGATCAGGTGCAGATGCACACCCCTCCCAGAGGTAAACTGATCCCAGCTTTTGGATCAGGTTGGGAGAGAGCCTCTTAAGATCATGACAGGCAGAAGTGGCTCTAAGGGCACCTGAGAGATTCCACCCCCAAACCTACCAGGGCACAGGGGCTCTGGTTGAACACAAAGGTTCAAGATCATTCCAAGGCCCCTGAGTTGCCAAAATATCCAAGTGACACTCATGTGTTGTGCTGCAGAAGCTGGGGGGAAAGTGGGAAAGAGGCAGGGGGAGTACCTACAAATCTCCAACAGGAAAACCAGAAGCAGAGACAGGTAGCCCCAGAGGCTGGTATGTGGGTGCGCCTGGGCAGGTTGGAGGAGAACCCACAGCACACAGTCTCAGGACCTTTGCATAGTGACATACTCACCACCCTCAGCATCAAAGGGACCCAACTGGGCACAGAGAAGCTATGTTGCCCTGCCCCCCCCAGATCAAAGATGTCCATCCATAGTGTCCCATCTCTATGTTCTGGATGTATGGCTTGAGGCTTAGCAGGACAACCAAAGGACAGAGGATTTCAGGCCAGGACCCAGCAGTGAGGTGTTAATTCTGTCCCAGAGCAGGTGCCTGTGTGGAGCGTGGAGAGTAGACAGGCAGGGAGGGAGTCTTCAGAGGTAGACATTGAGGGTCTGCAGGATACCGCGGCGGCAAAGCGGGCAGTTGCGGTGGTAGACGGGGTGGCGCATCAGGATTTCAGTGCAGGCCTGGCACAAGCACAGGTGCCTGCAGGGCAGAAGCAGCACAGTCTTGCTCTGGTCCTGGCAGATGACACACTTCTTCCGCTCCTCTTGCTCCTTTAGCAACTTCCACGGGTCTTGCCCAGCTGTAGACTCTTCCTCATTGAGCCTCTCCCGGCCCCGGGCAGGTGTCACTCTTATGGTACTGGCCTCCTCCTCTTCTGCCTCTGATCTGGGCCCTGCTTCAGGAAGAGTGTCCTGTCCCTGGGTCCTGGTTGAAAATACCCTCCTAGGGCCACCCTGAGGGGCCCCTGGTGCCCCTCCCCGGTATGGCCAGCTCGCCAGCTGTAGGCTGCGGCTCCATACTTGGCGCCAGGCCTCCAAGCCCAGGGCAAGGCGAGACAGCCTCACAACGTCCTCTCGCAGTCGATGGTATGATGGCCAGGTATGAAGCTGACTGAGTGCTCGGGTGACCAGTCTCAGGGTGAAGTCTGGGTGCAACACAGTCACTGTCACTGCAACCACACAAGCCAGTAACACCAGGCCAGTGAGATTGACAAGTACAAAGCTGGCCAGGAGTCGGGCAGCTGAGGCCAGCAGTTCCAATACTAGTTGGCAGGGGGTCCAAAGGAGGATGGCCATGGCCACAGCACTGCTGGAAATATGGGCCAGGAAGGTAGCCACTACATCCGTCATCCTCCACAGAGGGCCTGTAACTGTATCCCAGAGGGCCAGCACCAGGGAGAAGAGGTTCTGAGTGCCAATGAGGCAGATGTTGACCAGGCTGTTGATCACATAGGCCACCAGGCTCATAGCAATAGTACAGATGTCACAGGCCTGGCGCAGCAAAGAATGGCCATTGGAGACCACATTGAGGATACCCCTGTGCAGTATTTCCCGGCTCCGTAGTGCCCCATGAGATGCCAGGTGCCCCAGGAGCTTCAGACTCTCAAGGCCAGAGCAGCAGCTATACAGCAGAGTACACAAGGCCTGCAAGCCCCCAAAGGTGAACCGGACCAAGGCTTCCATCAAGGCCAGCAGTGAAAGCAGGACACCTCGGCCCAAGTGCAGAAGACTAGTCAGTACCGTGTGCGGCAGGTTGTAGATGAAGGCCAGGAGCCAGGCCAGGGAAGCCAGGAGGGAGGACACCAGCAGGAAGTTGAGATCCAACACCAAGGTCAGCACGTCCAGCACCAGGCCCACCCCATTCACTACCAGGTACACAGCCTCCATGATAGGGATATGGAGGTCAGTCCAAAAGAAAGACTGGCTCCTCAGTTGAGGGCGCTGTCAAGGTTGTCAATATTTTGGGAGATCAGGAATTAATTTGGAAGGGAAGTGAGCAGTCTCCAACTGAGGGGGAACGAAAATCTAAGGGAAAAGTGGGTTAGAGAGAAGGGGAGTCTTAATAGAGGGAAAGGGGGCCAGATGCCGCTCCAAGAGTCCCGGTTTTGAAGGCGGGCTGGTTGGGAGGGAAGAAACCAAACATCTCTGAAGTGAAGGTGAGCACAGTCTGGAGGAGAGACCTCGGCTTTGGAGGCCTGGTGTGGCGTACCACCGCCAGGCAGTGGGTCAGACCGGGAGGAGACCGGGAACCGATGGGATGGGACCGGATCGGGCCGGGCCGGGGCCGGGTGGGGGCGGCGCTAGCTGGGCGCGTCTCGCGGTCCAGCTACGCAGGTGCCCCTGTCCCCGCCCGGCCCCCGTCCTCCCGCTCGCGGCGCTGGACGCCCAAAGAGGGAATGGGAGAGGGAGCCGGCCTCAGCAAACCCCAAGCGCGGCCTCTACTTCGCTGGGCGCAGCCATCTTGTGTGCGAAGGGGTGGGACAAGAGGCGTGACAAGGAGGGAGGGAAGACTATATCCGACCAATCGGTGAGGGTCCAAGCCAGGAATGTCGAGCGTTCATTGGTCCGTTTGAAGGGCGCCTAAACAGTTGTGCGTTCCAAAAAGAGGGGCGGAGACCTACTAACATCCCCGCCCCTTTGAGGTGATGATTGGTCCATTGACGGAAAGTGTCGGAATACGCCCTTCCAGCCCCGCCCACTAAAAGATCCGGCCTGGAATGAGGCTACATTCGGTTGTTTTTCTTCTTCCGGGAGTTGGAGAGTGGGCTCTTTAGGCTCAAGTCATAGGTCGTCTCTTCTGGGCTGGGCTCTAGGGTAGCATCGTCTCCGCATCCCGCTCATACCCACTGCCTCGTCGTCTTATTTATTCATAAGACAAGAGGAAACATTGTTCCAGGAGATTCCAAGATTGCTATTCCAAATTTTCTCATCAGGTTTTCCAATGTCCTCTGTAGATGTCCTTGTGTAAAAAGAAGCCGCTCAGCTTCCTATCCCGGCCCCTATTGTCTACTTTTACACGCTGTTGTTGAATCTGGGCCTGGGAAGCTCCAGGTTCCTTAGGAAGTGGTCCTTTAATGCTCAAATGCGTACTCGAAATATATTCGAAACCATATTCCAAATATATCGGGAATCCTGGTATTTTCCACTAACTCCAAAGACACTTGGGTAACTTACCAACTTTACTCTAATTTCCTACTTGAATTGAATTCTCCATCTCCTCTCTGACTTGGGTTCCTAAAAGTGTTCCCCTTCACCCCACCCTGAATACCCCAGTCTTTCAGAGTCCTTCATTCCCCAAAGCTGATACAAAGTTAAGGTGTGCGGCAGACCTTTACTAAGGCACTGGGGACACAGTAGAGGTTACACTGTGGTACAGAGCAAGGACTGCAGTCTCTACAATTCCATTTTCCAGGCACTCCCCCCCCCAGCCCCCCCACACACACACTGGTTAGGCACCAATTCAAGATAATTCTTTCTCTTGTGATTTCCCCTCTTTTTCTTTAAACATTATACTCCAACTCCTCAATTTTGTTACTTGATTATACTAAATAGTGTATTTTTAACTCTAGCCCAATCCAATCTGTGAACATAAAATGTTAATTTATCTAAACAAAAAACATATGAAAATTCATTTTATTCCCCTGCCCATTCATGGTTTGTTGTGGGGGTTATTGTTGCTGGTGTAGTTTTTATTGTCATACCATGTACTTTCCCCAATTTCAGGTCTTGGGGAATATAAGCACCCCACTTTTGAGCTACTCTATCCCACCAATCCTATCCTCCTCTTGAGGGTTGGTTTTTTGTTTGTTTGTTTGCTTGCTTTTTGGTACCAGGGATTAAACCCAGGGGCACTTAACCAATGAGCCACATCTTCAGCTCCCTTTTTTGTATTTTATTTAGAGAAAGGGTCTTGCTGAGTTGCTTAGGGCCTCACTAATTTGCTGGCTTTGAACTCGCCATCCTCCTGCCTCAGCTTCCTGAGTTGCTGTTGTTAGAGGCCTGCTCCACCCACCGTGTCTTGTTTCTTCATTCTTCAAGGATCTTTCTTGTCCCAGGAACACTGTTTTGCTCTTTTTTTTTTTTTTAGTTGTAGATGGATACAATTTCATATTTTATCGTTTTATCTATGTGGGATTTTTTAATGTGTTGCTGAGGATCAAACTCAGTGCCTCACAGGCGCTCTATCACTGAACTAGAACCCCAGCCCTACTATTTTGCTCTTAATCAAATGTCCTGCAGCACTTGACAGAACTGACCACTTCCTCCATGCTTGACCTTGGTTTCCATCATAGCCTCCTCTCCCTTCCACATAATTTCTAAATCTGTGCCTTCAGCCTGAACCTGTCCTGCAAACTTCAGGTTCCAATTGCTTCCTGGACACACTCCTGGACATCCTACTAGTGCTGAAAAAGAATAGGTAGTGGTCAAGCAATGGGTCTCAATTAAGGTCTTATTCAAAGGCAGAGACCACAGCAGGAGACTAACTGGAAGAAATACTAATGGGCACCATCAAGGCCTATTTCAAATGTAAAAGACCATGATGAGGTTCATCTGTGGGAACACCCCAGCCAACTCCTTGGGCCCAGAGAAGCAAGAAAATGGAAGGTGGGAGTGAACGCAGATGGGAGTTACAGAAAGGATTAAAACTCAGGCTAAAGGAAGCAGCCAATGCTTTTTTTTTTTTTTAAAGAGAGAGAGAGAATTTTTTAATATTTATTTTTCAGTTTTCGGCGGACACAACATCTTTGTTGGTATGTGGTGCTGAGGATCGAACCCGGGCCGCAGGCATGCCAGACGAGTGCGCTACCGCTTGAGCCACATCCCCAGCCCCAGCTAATGCTTTTCAATGTCTATTTAACATAAAATTTCCATCAATTCTCATACCCCAAACCATGTAAGCCCCTGAACCAGCACACCAGAATGGGTTTTCCTGCTATCTGGCCCTCTCCCACATCTCTAGTACTCCAACTCTTCTCACTTAAATAAATCCTATTCTGTTTACTCTTCCCTTCCATTATTGTCTGTGGATTTCATTTTTCAAATTTGCAAGACAAGAACCCAGAAGAAAATTGGAGAAGCAAGGAATCTAATCCCATCTCAAAAATCCGGTTTTAGTGATTCACACTCCATTTGTCCAAAAATCAAACTTGGCAAAGTTGTGGTGCCTACATCATACACAATTAACCAGTCAGCTTTCCGTACGAAGAATCACCTAAATATCTCAGAATTAGCAGGATCCTCTAAGAGAGGATTTCCATTAGTTTGGGAACAAAACCTCCCCTTTGAGTGACCTGAGACTAACTAATCCAAACACCCATAATTGGCCACAGCCCTTGGCCTTCAGGAAACCCAGCTGGGGACAATGACAAAGACTGGAACTGACTCAGGGAGGAAGTTCAAATTGTTTGCCAGTGGGAGTCCCAGAAATCCATAAACCAGATCTTGAGAAAATTGAATGCCTAGAAGTGCTATCCTTGCAGGATTTTGTAAGGGAAGATGCAGTGGGGTGAACTGAGGCCCTGTTCAGTACTAGTGGGTATCTACTGTCCTAGCTACAGGGCTTTTGTTTTGCTTGGTGAAAGATTCCAGCTGGGGCTAGAGAAGGCATCACCACCCCATGCCACCCCTGTGGTATTAGAAATTGAATCCAGAGGCCCTCCGCCCTTTTAATTTTGTTGTGAGAACAGGTCTTGCTAAATTGCCCAGGCTGGCCTTGAATTTTCCATCTTCCTGCCTCAGCCTCCCAAGTTTCTGTGGTTTTAGGTGTGTGCAACCATGCCCAACTGAGATTTTTAGAGGTTATGAGGGGGTGAACGTTGAGAGCCATAGCGGAGTTGAATGGCCCCTGGCATTTTGCCAGAAGTAAAGGTTGAGGTGAGCCAGCGAGCCATTAAGATGATGATAATTAAGTTAA